CCGTTGATACTAACGAATTGGAGACGGCATCAGCTCGCATTTACGGCCGATATCGTTAAAATGTTTCGGCAGATAGGCGTGGTACCAACCGATCAAGACCTCCAACGGATAGTCTGGTCCCCTCGCTCCGAGCAGCCCCTAATCGACTACGCCCTGAGAACGGTTACCTACGGAACTGCCTGCGTGCCATACTTTGCCATACGCACCCTGAACCAACTCGCTGAAACCGAGAAAGTATGCTATCCACTAGACGCGCACTGCCTGGAGCACGATACATGCTTTGACGACATTTTTGCTGGGGTGGACGACCTGTCGAGCGCACAGCGTATGCAATGGGAACTCATAGATTTACTACGGTCAGCGGGAATGGAGTTAGATAAATGGGCATCAAATAATCTGAGTCTACTCCCATCGAGTATGCGACAGAGTGATTCCGGTAACCTAAAACCAATTGATCGGGACAGCCACGTGAAGACCCTCGGTTTGCTGTGGAATCCCCATACAGACACCTTTGCATTCTGCGCACTCAATTTAGATCCTCCAACTGGAACGGTTACGAAGAGATCTATTTTGTCAATCATTTCGCGGTTGTTCGACCCCCTTGGATGGATCGGCTTGGTCATCGTGACCGCGAAGATACTTATGCAAGACCTATGGATAATAAAGGGTGATTGGGACACGCCTTTACCGGTTGAGATTAAAAGGCGTTGGGACGAGTACTGTGCGTCGCTTACTGCGCTCCCGTCTTTGTCCATAGAGCGGTGGTTAAATACATCTTCTGGGCTCAAATATGAACTACACAGATTCTCAGACGCATCTTCATGTGCATACAAAGCCGCTGTATATCTACGAGTTTGTACCGCAGACCACAAGTTTCGAGTCATTCTCCTCGCAGCCAAGTCTAAGGTCGCGCCGGTGAAGACAGTGAGCATCCCGAACCTCGAACTATGTGGGGCCACGTTACTGATTAAGCTTGTGAGGCACCTATCGTTAGAGTTTCACGCTCGTATGCCTGTCCATCTGTGGTCCGATAGTTGAATAGTCTTTGGATAGTTAGGTAAACACCCATGTCATTAGAAAACGTTCGTGGCTAATAGAGTCTCATTCATTCAAACTGAGCTACCTTTGGCTCAATGGGCCCATGTTTCTAGCAAGGAAAATCCAGCTGACCTAGCCACCCATGGAGTACAACCTTCAGAGCTTGGTACTAACACGCTGTGGTGGCACGGACCTCCATGGTTATCACAACCAAGCAAAAATTGGCCAAAAGACGGGGAACCAGTCAAGGTCGCCCATTCCATCACAATCATAAGCGAACCAGAACTCCTCATCCGGTTCTCAAGCTTGACCGAGCTTGTGCGGATCATAGCATATTGTCGGTGACCATTAGTCATTTTGAGAGCACGAAAGGACGGAACCGGACCCATACCTCTTTTCCTAACCGGCACCGAGTTACGCCAGGCCCGTCTTACAGTGATTCGGATGGCCCAGTCTCATGGATTTCTTAAAGAGATTGAATTGTTGAGGAATAATAAACCATTGCCTAAGCGGCACCCACTACTGACAGTAAAACCCATGCTCACCGAGGCTGACGGGATCTTACGCGTTAAAGGCCGCTTATCGCATTTCAACTTGAGTTTTGCACGGAAGTGTTCCCCAATTTCACCGCGCGGTTCTGCTCTCAGTCGACTCTTTATTCTCTATGCCCACCACGCCACCTTACATGGTGGACCTAAGATCACTTCAAACCATGTAATGCAACACGTGTGGATAGTGGGTAGGCAGTCGTTAGTCAAATCTGCCATACACAAATGCGTACCTTGCCAAAGGGTGAAACCTCGACTAGCCCACCAGCTGATGGAAGATTTACCAGCGGCAAGAATCACTCCAGCTTGTCCATTCACTACCACCGGTGTGGATTACGCGGGGCCCATTCAAGTGCGCATGGCCAAGGGCCGTGGAATACGCACATTTAAAGGGTACATCGCCCTTTTCATATGCTTTAGAACTCGTGCCTTACACTTGGAAGTAGTCAGTGACTTAACCTCCGCTGCCTTTATATCAGCATATCGCCGATTTGTCAGCCGCAGAGAAATCTGTCGCCAGCTATATAGCGACAATGCAACAACTTTCTGAGGCACTGATCATAAGCTACAAACCATGTACTCATCGGCCTCCGCATTTTATCGAGAAGTAGCCGCAACCTTAGCCAACGACGAGACTGATTGGACCTTTATACCGCCAACAACCCCTCACTATGGGGGGTTGTGGGAAACTGATGTAAAGTCAGTAAAGCACCACTTAAGAAGAGCTGTAGGGGACCATAGCCTAACCTTCGAAGACCTTTCCACCGTCCCGGCTGAGATCGAAGCGTGCCTTAATTCGCGTCCTCTCGGTTCATTATCGTCAGACCCCCATGATCTAGATGCTCTTACACCAGCCAAATTTCTTATCAGATCTGTGCCTAGTTTCTTACCCGACACCAAGCCTCCAGCCAGCCCAACCAACCGACTTAAGGATTACTAACTACTTCAGCGTATCACATCCCAATTTTAGAAACGATGGTCCCAGAAGTATATATAGCATCTGCAAGAAAGAGGAAAATGGCGGAGTAGCACCGAAAACTTTAAGGTGGGCAGTTCGTTTTGGTGAAAGATGATGGCTACTCACCATCGAAGTGGCCTTTGGGACGCGTCACCGAGGCACACCTCGGTGACGATGGCCTCGTACGCGTAGTCATGGTAGAGACTGCTTCCAGCACCTTTTCACGCCAAATCGCGTGCCTTGCGACATTTATCTTAGACTCAGAGGAGCCAGACTCCACCAAACCCGAGAGTGTCGAAGTTTAGAGTTCGTCTGTTAGACGAAGGCGGGCGGAATGTTCGGGAGTTTTAAGCACGATGACGATTGAAACTTGAGGTGCGCGTCACGTTGCGCAGAGAGTGGCACCATCGGGCGGCTTGCGCACATAACAGCGGGAGAGAAGGGAGGAAGAGGCAAGAGAGCGAGCGCAGGGGCCTCCAAGTTGGACGCATTCGAGTTTGAGAGACGAACGCGCGTGGACGGGAGAAAAGAGCTTAAGTGGATGGCAGTTACTGCCCAGATCACACTAAGTTGTCCCTTTTTGGTGCCTAACCTAAAAAACAATACAAGCTTTCAAGTGCCCATTTCAAGGTCCCAGGGGCTTCGAAAGGTTGGTCGTGACACGCAGAGAGGTACGGGAACGGCGGGTGGAAAAGCTAAAGCACAGTTTCACGGTACCTTGAGCCACAGGCAGAGACCAGGCGTTCAACGTCGGTGTGATCCTCCGTGGTGTGCTGAGGCTGACCGAGACTATCGGCCACGGAGGAACCGGAACCTCGACCATCACCACGGTAACTCGAACTCCATGCTACGCTGAGGCAGACCGAGACGTCAGTGTATGGAGCCAGAGCCCTTAACATCCACCAAGCCTTCCTTCGCGTTACTCTGAGGCTGACCGAGAGATCGGTGCGCGAAGGGAGCAGTTGTGATCGCAGCCAAACACAGATCTGTACAGTTAATTAACATTTGTGTCAGTCAATGAGTCATCCTGAGAGCCTGCCAGTGACATTGTATCCAGCTATTCAGACGCACGACCGGCACTTTCTCTCTCTTTTTCTGTAATTCTCGCCCTCGTTTCCCCAAGCTAGTTCTAGTATCTCAAATTGTAACCCAGGTAGGCGAGGCGTGCCTTTGATTTGTACCAATTGTATTGTTGTCGTCGAATGCATTCACTTAGGGATCTTTTATAAAACTATTGTTAACCTTTTCATATACATTATGTATTAATTAAAGCAAAACAATAACTCATAAACAGCGAGTGATTATTTATGCAACTTAACCACGCTTTCCTCACAAATAAACACACATTTCTTCACGTCCATCCAACAATCAGATTAACTAGTTTAACACATACGTTTATCTTTCTATTAATAATGTTTTTTTTTCAATTACATCATACTCATAAAAAAATGATTCTTTTCTCATTTAGTTTTATTTCGCAAATTTATGAAGCATGACAATTATTTTCCAAAAAAAATCTTTTTTTTGCTATTTCAAATCTTAACGAAACAAATCTTAAGTAAAAAAAGGTTTAGTGACCAAGGCTTCATGCGTTTCATAAGCTTCTCTCGTAGTGCTGTTGTACTACCTGATACTACGATGTACATATTAAGGTTCCACATGTCTATCCAGTTACTTTTATGAGATTATGAGAGCAATAGTAATTTTTATTGATCTGCTTAGAATATTTAAATATTATATATACATGTATAATCGCTTGCACCTGAAATATTTTAAAAACTTCATACACACGAATAATATACCGTCATTAATCTTATCGTTAGCTGACATACTACAAGAAAATCATGAGATATGCGTATATTTACTCTGTTATGTACTAAATGTCACTTAAGGAGTAATTTTTTGAAAATCACAAACATAACAATATAATAGAAAAAACTATGTTAAAAAATTTTTAATCGACAAAATATTTGACTAAATAACTTAGAGCATTTTACTAATATTGCGACTATTAAATTGTTACAATTAAAAATAACAGCTGTTATAATATTACTAAACGATTTTCAAAAGACAACTGTGACAATAATTATAAAAAATGTACTAACATGTAGTTTAATAATACGTAATTTAATTCATAAAATTATTGCAAACTTTGGTCGTTGGTAACATGAATGACAGATTTCTTATGACTTAAAATTTTATTACGTTTAATTACATTATTCATTCATATATACACTTCCCTTCTTTCTAATGTCAGTCATTTAAAGAAACTGATAGTTTCTCCATAGCTTTTATACTTGTCCATCGTTTTATTTATAACTTATTTTGAAGCGTGGTCTAATAAATTTCTTTTAACATCCTTGCAAGTCCACCATGTAACATTAAACTTTAGTTAATTTAAAGATAACTCATATGACATTATCTTTTCATTGGTGCAATGAATTTGGCATCTTCAGACGCTACCTGCCAGTCCTGAAAAATTTTCCAACTTGCTACATACACGAACCATGGAACGCCCCACTTAGTGTTCAGCGAGCCGCCAAATGCATTATTGGAAAGGAATACTCACTGCCGATGGTTAACCATTCCAAGAGTTCCCGCCTCAATATTCAACGCTTGAAACAGGCTCACCAACAGCTACAAAAATATAAATCCTATGGTATGTTTATCATAATTTAAGCTATTTTATTCATTGTATTGTTTAATTTTTTTAATAATTTGACCAATAAACTTTAAATCCAGCAGATAAATAACGTTTTTTTTTTATTTTGGTTTTCTTTAACCTAACGACAATTACTGCACCCTAAATAGAAAATACGATTCATTTATTTTGTTAAATTATTTCCATCTTGTATGCAAACACAAGGGATCCCTCAGACCTGGTGTTTGCCTTGATGATATTTTCGACCAGTTACAAAATCTACAATTTTGTCCCTCGGGCTTCACCCTATGAAAAGTATTCCTCGTATGAACTTTAGTAACGAAGGACCAAGCAGACTAAGTGTTTGTAAGCAATACTTATACATAATATTGTGATATCGATCCAGAAAATCTATACTACGAGATTTAACTCATCAAAAGCTCTCAAACATTTCTTTAGAATATTTGGATTCAATGTATAATGACTGAGAAATTAATGTTTTAAAAATAGTTTATAATAGGAAGTAATAGTAGTGTTAATAATAATTTTTTTTTTTTTTTAAACAATTATTTAAAAAAAAAAATGTTCTGATAACACGCCCTTGATGCGTATATAATCATTTCTCCTTTTTTATTTAATACAATGCTTATGTTTAAAAAATATTTGAATCCCATTTTTTTAACGGTAAGACATTCAAGAGTATAAGAGATGTGCTGTATTAACAACCTTAAAGATCGTAATCATCTTGCCTTTTCTAATTTACTTTTGTGTTACATAATGAAGATGAAAAAAATTAAAATCCTTCTTTTCTCAATAAATTATAAAAGTAATCGAGTTGGTCTGAATACACGAGCTGGACACGTCTAATTTTCTTGCCCTTCTTTTTTGATTCGATAATTTTGTTTAAAAATATTTAACTGCTTCATATTTTAAAGTTAAATTTGAAGAATATTAGAGCTTCTCTGTATTAACGCCCTTGACGCACATTTTTTTTGCCCTTTCCTTATATATTTTTTTTGACAGCTATAAAAGTGTCAATAATGCAAGTGTTAAAATGCTGCGTTACATAAACGCTGTCGTTACGCGTAATGTTTTGATCTTTCTTAAATCATTTTTTTTGAGGTGATAACGTGAAAAAGTAATTTAAAGCTTTTTTTTATAGTAAATTATAAATTTGATAGAATTGTCTAAAAAATTGCCTTAGATACGCAGAACTTTCTCACTTTTTTCTCTCTAATTCAGTGCTTAATTTTAGAATATGCAAATCTTATTTTTTCAATGTAAAAACTTATGAGCATGAAAACTACGCTGTATTAACGCTCTCCACATACTCCTTGCTGTTTTTCATTGATTCTTTTTGACCACGTAGTCAAACTTTAGAGAATGATAAATGCTATCTTTTTAAAGTAAGTCTTTAAAAGTTAAGGAGTCACGCAGAATAAGCGCTAGTAGTTGTTAAAATTAGTCCGTCAAAACAACCCTTACCACCTGAGTAGAAGCCTGCTTTGATGGGTCAAAAGTGTTGCATGTAGGTATTTGTTAGGTGGTACAACAGGTGAGGAGAGTATGAAGACTCTTGCCAAGTAGAGGGAAAAACATGCAAAATTTCAAAAGTGTAGAGAGGGAAAAAAAGAGTAAGAGTAGATTAGAATGTGTGTATTTAGGCTGAGAACCTCCGGTCCATATAAACCTAGGCTCGAATCCTATAAACCAGTTTATGCAAGGTTAGTGACGCACAAGTCACCAAGATACATTAAATATATTAGAAGATTGAGATAAATTAATTACAATAAAGTTAATTCAGATAAAGTACAAAATGATAGTTCATTTAATTTATATTAAATAAAATAGTCACAATCAAACATATTAAAATCTACTTATGATTACCATCTACTAAAAAATTTGAAAAATCATCAGCTTGACTGCATATATTAAAAAGTATAAAGAATATACAGTTTTATTAGTTAAGTCTAAAATCCTCATTACTTATACATTTATATAATCTGTTTTTAAACAAATCTGGTGTTGAGATTAATCGTAGATTAGCAGGCAAAGCATTTCATTTATTAGCAGCTACAATGTTAAACGAATACCTATAAGTACCAAAATTAATACGCGTTATTAGTAACTCTGCAGTATTCCAATTTCTGAGGATGATTGCTGAGACAGGTTGGAAGGTAAATAGCTCAACAATACATGTAGGCTTTTGTGATACAATGATTTAATGCAAAAGGCACAGCATAAAATATCTTCTTCTGTTAGAATATGACTTAATACTGTAGTTTTTGTGAGTTGGTGTAATATGCTTAAATTTTTGAACATTGTTAAGAAAAGGTGCTTTGTGCTGCCACCTGACGCCTCTCGTGTGTAACACACTATACAGCTCGTCACAGCTGTTCAAGCCTACTCTTTTCTGCCCGAGCACTTGTACAGCGAGCATCGTCCTTCTGGCAACACATACCGCCCGTGGCAACTCTTATTAAATAAAGTTTTACTTGTTCACTAAATACTAGAAGGGCATTTTTGTCTGCGACCTGTCCCTCACCCTTCCACCACCTGCAATAAGGCTTAAGTCCAACAGGTTATCGGCCCAGGCGACGTGAAGAAGGCGGGAAGCGGCAAGGAGAGCGGGAGCGAGCACAACAGGAGTTTAGTTCAGAGTAAGGTAATTTCAGAGATACACCCAATAAAGCTTCAAGTGTCGTTTGAAGCAGGGTGTCAAACAGACAGTTCGCTTGTGTTTTCTTTCTCTCTCGTCTTTTTCGCGGGTTTTTCGTCGCGAGTGCGTAGTGCTCTGTGTCCGCGTGTTTTGTCTCTCTCTCTCTCTCTCTCTCTCTCTCTCTCTCTCGCTCTCGGCTGGCTGATCAGCTAGGCCGACTCCTCCATGTAGCGTTTTTTTTACCCATGATTGCTTTAGAGAAAGAGCAATTAATAAGCAGAGAAACATTTCAGAGTGAGAAAAAAAAAAAAAAAAAAAAAGACAGCTACATTCAGAGTCGTTTTTTTTATATAAAGCGAAGGAGGAGCGGCAGTGTATGCGGGGGGAAGGGGTGGGGAAAGGAGAGATCGGGACGGACTGCCGCTACGGCATTCGCGAATTCCGGGAAAACGCTCGAGAGAGTAAACACGCGGCGCGAGTAGAGCCTGACGTGACATGAAAATACTGTTGCTATTAGAGGAGTTTTGTTTTTCAGAGTTTTTTCTTGTTGAGACGTATAGTATATATATATACCTATATGTATGTATGTATATAAAATTACTCAGATGAGCATAACTAAATTGTTTCCTCGCTTATTTTTTCTCTCTCCGTTGCGCGAGTGTGTGAAAGTGCTAGCCGTGCAGTACTTTTACACACACAAATAAATCGCACTAAAATCTGCATTCTTAAAGCAGTCGACAGTCATGCAGTGCAAACGTCGTATATGTATCCTAAGGAGAAGTTGTCGTGATACTGCTTGGTCTGTGGGTCTGCACCGCGGGTGCACTCTCGCTCGCGTAGCTGTCACTAGCAGTGAGGTGACAGCGGCTGGACGGGACGCGGGGAGTAGGCTTGCGGCCGGTAGGGCTCGACAGCTAGAGGGCTACCCGTTCTTGACAGGCCGTGCCGTCATGAATCTTGGGTGCCTTCAACAATAATTAAATCTTGCATGGGTATTTTTTTAATACTTTTTTGGTCATGCAGGTGAGATGCACAATGAAAGCAGGAGCCGCACTCCGGAGAGGCCAGTCGATGAGTCGAGTGGTGATCCGGGGGAGACTCAAACAGACGACGGGTCTCCTGAGCGGTTGCTTGCGACCTCAGAAAGAGGTAACTTATAGATGTTTGATGTTTATTGTAGAATAAATACAGCAAATCTCAGAGTGGCCAAAAAAGAGTTATTTGACCACAAGGCTTATAACCTCCAAGAAAATAAAACCAAAAATAAGATGTCTAGATGGCTGTATTTTTTGTTGTTTTTCAGAGAATTCAGAGAATCCGGAATCCGTTAGGGACGCAGATTTAGACCTGGAGAGAGAAGAGAAAGAGGAAAGGCAACAACAACTTGATGCCATTAAAGAAATAGCGCGGAACTTGGCGCTAGCATCAGTGAACTTCGAGAAGTCCACTAGACATGTTCAGGCTCTGGTGGATGTCTGCGAAAAAATGGTGAACGCCATAGAAGATGTTTGTGAGGCAAACAAAACTATGTCGGAGGAGATGCGCAAGAAGCAAGAAGGCCCGCCTCAGAATAAGGGAAATCTTCAGAGTTCAGATGTAAGTGATTCCTTCTTGCATTCGACATTCAGACGCAGAGATGGTATTGGGGGCTTTAGTAAAAATTTCAATTTTTCTAATATCCCTTCACTTAACGCGGTAAATATGGATAAGGGACGTCAATCAGGTCCAAAAATAATATCCGACTTTACTTTTCAAAAACCTCAGAATTCAAATAATTCAGACGACATTTTAAATCGATTGAATAACACGGTGACGAACCTCGCGCGTTCAGTAGATTCGGGAAATAGAAGCAGAGTAAAGCCCTCGTTCGAAAGAAAATATAAATTAACGCAAAAAGGTTCGTTTACCCTCTGGCTTGACTCTCTGACAAGTGAATTGAGAACGATTGACTATATAGATGTTTTAGAAAATAGTCGTGATTTAGAAGAAACTTACGGTTTTTCAGAGTCGAATAAAAGGAAAATGCTTGTCAGAGAACTTATAATTAGCCATTTAGATGAGCACTATCACAAGAAAGTGATAAACATTTCAGAGCCAAAAGATATTATATCTAAAATTAAAGAGTTCCGATTAGCAGAGACAAACGTCACAGCCTCGTCAG